CTGTCAAAAACCAATGCGACTGCCGATTTCAAAAGCCAAATACAATACAATTAGAAACCATATCGAGGCTCATTGAATTCTATTAATGGAGCTTCATTTGACAAAGAGAAAATTTAAATGAGCTTGCATTGATCAATTCAGAACTGATCTATTATCTCAAAAACTGAAAATGTATTATTAACGGATGGGTTCGAGTCAATTTGTTACAGAAATTTTAGTACTACCTTGCAATTAGTGCCAAGGCAAACCATTTTGGTACACATATTACCATAATATTTTTAACTTATTGGAAGGTAAGTCACTAAAATCGATACGCAATAGAAAATGTTTTTTTAACACTTTGTTTCTGAACTTCTTGGTCATTTTGGTAGTTATGGAAAATGTGATTGTAATTTATATATGCATTTTATGCGTATTATTATATGTGGACAACTATGCTCTGCTACAATTTTTCAACCACGTTGTCTGGTTCAATTTGAATGAGCTAACATTTTATACAAAATAAAATCCATGCCGTTGCTACAAATATCATCTCATTGGATTTGGTCGCATATAAATCCAGTCTTTTGAATCTTCAAAATTTTCAAAACAATTTGAAGTATCACACCGAAAATTTAAATATTCTAACATTTTCAGGTTTGTGTAATATATCGTATATTTTGCATTACTTTCCCGCGTTTTATATTTTAGTATTATGAATTTTTATTTACTTGTGAATTTTATTTATTAAAAAAATAGTTCTCTGCATTTCCTAACGAATATTATGCAAACACCGATTGATTGAATGACGCTGACGTATTCAGAATATCTGTTATCCTTTATATAAAGCTCCGCAGACAATTGTACAAATCCATCGCGATTTCATGAATTCCTGTTTGTTATTTTATTGTAAATATACTTTTCTATGGTGGAAATTGCATACTGACCACTCAATTTCATGTTCAGTTAAAGCGCACGGTTTTGCGAACATGAAAAATCATCAATTGTACAAGCGGATTTTCGATAAAAGTGAAATCGCAGCGGATATAGTGTTGAAAACGGAATGAAACAATATTGCCAAAAATATCCAATAAATTTTTCTACTGTTTCGGATATCTGTGAAAAGAATGGATATTTAAAATGACACACTACTATAGATACTGCCAAAAATAGTAAATTCACTAAAAAATCCCATAAATTGCTAAGAAGTTGATGATTTGATATTTTGTCAGAAGTATTCATCAGAAGAGTTAAAATAATTATTTATTCAATTTATCTCTTTTGAAATTGCTTCTTTTTAACTTAATTACCTTCCCAAAGGTAAAGTTTGTTCTCATAAAAAATCTGATTCGTTAATTTCATGTTTTCTCGACGGTTCAAGTCATTCTGAATCGAATGAGATCAAATTTGGAAAAAGTATGTTTGTTTGTGTATGTGTTTGTATGTGTGCGTGCGTATGCATGTGAACAGATTTTTTACCTTAAATCAACGATTTCTCTAAAAAAACGGCTCGACCGATGTTAAAAATTTAAAAGCCATTCGATGTAACTCGATAACATTTTGAGATTGTCAGTTTTGCGCGACGATCCAAATTGGTAAACTTTTCGTCCACAGTTTAGCTCCTAATCGATTCAATTAGCTCCTGAATCGATTTTAATAAATCAAAAACTATTCGAAAGATATTAGTTGGGAATGATTCTGATTAGTTTTAGATATAGATCGACTAAGCAGTTTTCTTGTAATTAACTGTTGAAAATAAAATTTAGGCCGATTTTTATGAAACTGTTTTTGATGATATATATCTTGGCCTTATAGAACTTACTGAAATATTACGGCCTCACGACAAGTAGTTTAATTTAAAAAATTCTTTAAAGTTTGAAAAAATATCATAGTCAAAATTTGTGAACAGACAGGTTCAGCCGTTTCGAAGATACAAGGCAATAAAAGAAAAAAATGGCAATTCAGTTTTTGAGTAAACGGCGCGTCCAATTTTTCAAAAATATCATTTTTTCAAAGCTTTTTTAAAAAATATAATTTTTGGTACGGATGTTCCAGCAATTTGCCATGCTTTACTAGTTTAAGTCAGAATGATAAATAGTTTCACTAGAGTTTATACATAGAATGTCTTTTATGGGCGACACTCGGTCTATAGGCGACACTCGTAACGATAATTAAAAATAATGTGCATGCAAAATAATTTTGTTGGAAGCTATAAATAACAAAGACATGTTGAAATATATTTACTCGGATAATTTTGTGGTGCTATTATAACTTATAGACTATCTTTCAAAATGGATGAAATTATTTTAATATTATTCAGTGACGAACAAATGTATGATGTTTACAGTGCTTTGTTTTTAATGTCGAATGTTTAAAAATGCATTCATTTCAATACTCAGAAGACATACATACTCTGAAATAAGCCTATGATTTATAACTATGTATCTCAAGCCAGTTATTGTCAGAGAGACTAATGGGTTCCTATTTTAGATATTTAAGTAATTTTAACCTAATTCGTGGTTGTATAGTTCTATATGAGTCCAATTAGTTGATGGACAGCCTGAAATATAAATTGATCGTAAACATTTCATATTTAAATAAACAGAATATAATTTGATAGAAGTATTTATTCTCGTTATATTATATGTTCGAGCTTAGTCAATCAATATGTAATTATAGTTTTGCCTAAATAATCCTATTTAACTGAATTATTTAAATATTCTGATAATTAAAATTACATTTATATATATATATATATATATATATATATATATCTCGTATATATATATATGATGAAAGTTTTGTCGACGTTGATACATATTTGTAAAATTTTTTTTTCTTTCAGCCCAACCGTCGAATTAAAAAAGATTAAATAACAAAATTATTTATTTCATTACACGTTTCGACACTTGATGTGTGTCATCATTCAGTAATCAAACCAGGAAAAACAGGAAACATTAATTATGATGTAAAAATTGATTTAACACTAAATTTGTGTAAAATAATAAAATACTATTAATTAACAAACGAGAAATAGGAGGAGCACATATTGCCCTCCTATATTTAATGTTAATGGTACCATTTCAAATCTATTTTTACATCATAATTAATGTTTCCTGTTTTTCCTGGTTTGATTACTGAATGATGACACACATCAAGTGTCGAAACGTATAATGGAATAAATAATTTTGTTATTTAATCTTTTTTTAATTCGACGGTTGGGCTGAAAAAAAATTTACAAATATATATATATATATATATATATCAATATATACTAATTGTAACATATATACAAGCTGGTCCGGCAAACGTTGTTTAGCCACACAAAATATTTCCAGGAAGTTTTTAGTATAAAAAATAACTAACTGATTGTGTAGTATATAAGTGAAAGAAGCAGCTAACACAAATTAAATGAATGATTTACCCACTGTAACACATGCCTCATAATAATATTCTTGGCACATTTTATTAGTCATTGCAAGTACCTAAGCTGAAACAGTTTTTATATATCATTACGCTTTTTATTAATTCATCAATATTTGAATCACAAAGAAAACAGATATATATATATATATATATATATATATATATATCTTCAATTTTTTTAGTTTTTTTTTTGATTATATAAATATAGTTTGATTGTAGAAATAAATGGAAAATGTTACAAAATATCACTTAACATTGTTTGACATTGAAAATATTTGAGGCGTTGTTTGGCAATGAAAATATTTGAGGCGTTGTTTGGCATTGAAAAGAAATGAAGACTGCCCTTTGCCAAATATTTTAATTCACTTTTTAGCTAAGACAATATTAAAATATAATATATTTAGCTTATGAATAAAAAATGTAGTGTCTACATTATTATTGCTGAAAAGCAACTGAGATGTGCCAAAAATTAAAATAATATAAGATACATTAAATGTTTGGCAGAAAAACAGTCTGCACATGCGTCTGACGGTTGTGGACTGTCAGTGAATATACCCTATATAATTTTATTTGACTGATTTTTTTTAACTAATGCAGTCGTACTTTGTCTTACTTTACTAAATCGTAATACAAAAAAAAATTACTCATTCAAAAAATTATTTAGAAGTTTTATTGTATCCAAAATTCATGTTTAGCATTGAATAAGGAATATTTATTCAAGTCAATGGAGCGTTTTGGGTCTCAATTTTTTTTATTATGCTCCAATTTGTATGAATTTTTAGAATTAGGTTCAGCTTATTCTCAAGTTTAAAGGTGAAAATAATTTAGACTTCTTTGCCACTTCCTGGATGTATGACATCCCTCCTCCGTAGTGTAATTTTATTTTTTTCGAAATAACGTCGGATATCGATAAAAGAACTAATTATAAGATAAAAATGTTTTATAATTTTCTTTAAAAGGGCAAATACTTTTCAAGTTACTGGCTACTGAAAATTCGTTTTTCTGGCGTTTTTCATCGTTTTGTTTTGCAAATATTTCCAAAAATATACATTTTAACAAAAATCGTGTAATGAATATAATTATATCAATTATAATCATAATAAATCGGTGTTTTATAACGTGTTCAAGGAACAATGTTAAGATAGATATAAAAAGCGTTTTTAATTTCGTTCAAGATTTAATTGTTGTATTTGAAGCCATCTAGCGGCGAGGTGTTACATTTTATATATTCCATGGGGCTTTATAGTGCTCAAAATAAGCTATAAAATGTGTACTGTTAAGTGTACTGTCTATTTTTTTTTTGGAAACATTACATTATTTTTACATTTACTGTGTACATTATTCATTTCATATATAAAAAATCCATTTTTTTAAACATATGGTTTGCTTAAATCTTATCAAGATCATGTTTCTTGACAGATGTCCTGAAGATGGAACGTACTTAGTTCCGAAACGTCCACAGTAAATAAATAAACAAATGGTTTTTTAAAAAACTTATTGGATTCTTTGTTCGAAGGTCTACAAAATATTTACAAACCCAAGACTACCATCTAATATATATATATATATAATTAATTTTATCACTTTTGTTTCAGACCATGCTGAGCCAGAAGGAAACTACCTGTAATTTTCATCTTAAAATATGAGCCCCATAGTGTTAATACAAGACGACGCCTCGAATGAAACTGATGTGAGTTCCGTACTATCATTCTGTATTTTATATAATAATCGTTATGGATTTATAAGTAATTTCTAAAGAAAGGGTCAACTCTTATTTCTAAAATTAGATTTAAAATAGAAGTCCCAAATAAAACTAAATCTTTTTTGTTTAGACAACAGTATATTTTAATTTTCAGTATATTATCTAATAGATAGACTAACAATAAGACATTCTAAAATTTTCATGTTGCATATATTTACATATTTCTGCTTTATTTGTTTTAGTTTTTTTTTTGAGAATTAAGCTTAATTAAGAACAAAGTAAATAAATAATTTACCTTACACAAAGATATTTATTATATACATAACTATTTAAACTTCATCTAATGAGTCTTAACGTTTTGAGAGTGTTTACATTTTTTATCATAATCAGAGACAAATAAATCAGAGTACTTTCAGAAGCACACAAACAAAATTTATTATAAAATTTATGCGGAACTAAAATTTTGGACCCTACTTATAGCGTAGAGCAGGGCTTTAAGATCCGCGAGTAAAACGCCATCAATATCTCAAAAACAAGTAAAGTTACGAATTTTTCAACAGCAAAATTTAGAACAAAAGGTGTGCAGCCAGCAACCATCTTAAATCAATCAACGTCACTAGCAGAAGATAACGACCATGTTTAAAAATCTTTAAGAAAAGTATTTCCTATCGTGGTTAGTTTTTTTTTTTGGTTACCAACATTGTTGTTTAGTTTACGAGACCTTAATATAATATTTAAATACACGTTATTTCATTGTTTTATAAGATGTGTTGTTATTTTAGATTGGTATTAAGTTAGATTCACCTTTTTTATGACCTTTATAAATGCTTACATATGAATGCGGTAAACAAAACCAACTAAATCTTTATTCTGGAAAAGGTATAAACAATAAAAAATACTAGATGAAAAGGTAAATCAGATTAAAAAGTGCAATTTTAAAAGAGATAAATTAAATTAATAGTTATTTCAACTCTGCCGATTAATGTTTTTGTCGAAATACTTGATCAATTTTATATATAAGAGGCGTAGCTACCCAACCGTAAGCAGAAATTGATAAAAACTCTAAAGCCAAATAACGACTTTTCAAAAAATGAAATTATTCCGACATAGTTGGCATTACCCTTTTCTATCGAAAGTCTTAATAATAAAAACGCCAATAAAAGATCGCAGTTTTTAACTTTTAAGCCCAACGCTTTGAGAAAATTAATATTTAAAAAACAATATTTAAAAAATGTTGCACTTTTCGAAGACGTTTGAATATTCTTAATATGTTACAAATGATAACAAGCAATTATACATGTATTTTCGAACGAAGCTATCTAATAATAAGGCCTCTAGGAAGTGCTATATTATTAACTTACCGTAGGGTAGTTATAGTAATGGGCTTCACGTTTGAGAGTTTTCTGAACATTCTAGCATACTGTAGAAAAAATGGATGTTTGTGTGGATACAATATTTTATCCACAATTTTGGGTGCACGGATCAACCTATTTAGAATATTAAAAAAAGCATTCGATACTTACTGATGGGGAGACCTAATGATTAGTTTTTAGCGAAGGAGGTCCAGTCGTTTCGGTTATTTATGGAGCAAAGAGTGCAAAAAATATAAATTTTGACCAAACTGTCCATCTGATTAGAATGATTCAAAACTATTAGTTTTTGATGAAGGTATTTTTTTCAAAAATCAAAAAAAACTTTAATTCTTAAAATTTATATTTAAATTTAATTTTTTTTTTGAATATCGAAAATGACTCGGAATTGCATTTTTATTCTAAATGAAATTCTAAAACTCACTTATATACTTCAATTAAATTCTTAAGAATATGATATAAGGTTCTTCATTTTAACTCCGCATTATTAACTTTTGTTTATTTACTCTTCATGTAAACATCTACCTATAATTCTATAGAATTCGAATAATAAAAGTTTCAGTATTTATAATAATCTATTTGAAAACATTAACTATTTCTCAAATAAATATTCCATTACGGTACGGGAAGTTTTCGATGCCACACACCATTGCTTAATCTTCCTGTGGGGTAAAAATGATCTGATGTCAAACTTTAAAAATGTAGGAAACAACAGTTACACAACGATGAATTAGTTGGTAATTTTTCTGAAGTGTTCGATGTTGGTTATGTCAGCATGGTTTTCACAATATGATTATTAAAAGTCAAATTATAAAATGCCCCGCCCTACCCTGTAATATTGCAATTAAATTTTCCTAGTAAATGATGTGTCAAATATAATAACAGTATTAGAAAATGTTGTTTCAACATCTTGCTTTTATATTAGTGCTAAATCCTACTAATGTTATTTGAATTTTTTATACTACTATTCATATTTTTCTAATTGATTTCTCAAATTATGACCGTGCAATTTTATTACATTTCTTATCCATATCCTGAAAAATAATATTTTTCTGAAAGCAAATGTAAAAATAAGAATAGGGCAAAACTCGTCAGAAAATTTATTTAAATATATTATAAATGAAAATCTTCATCTTCAAAAAGAAATGCGGAACATTCATGTGCTATAGCCGATAACTTGCATTCTGTTAATTGCTCCGAAATAATGCGCACATTGTCCTGTTCTATCTGTACTTTATTAGTATTAATGGAGTGAACTGGATCTTCTTCGCTGTCGTGATTATTTAGGGATTCTAAGGTTTCTTTTAATTTACCTTGAGCTTCTTTATATGCGTTAAGCAGGAGCCTGAAATGCTCGATCATATTGGCATATCGCTTGATAAGTTTTTCAAACAGACATTTTTCACAATTGACATTTCCACTGTTTGTTTCATCGGGTATAGTTTCTTCATAATTTTTATTTTCAATCAAATTTGATTCCATAGTGCGCTGATACAAAATTTTACTTTTATAAGATTCAACATAAATTAATTTATACAGAATACGACATCAAAAAATAATTTATTTATTTGTAATTTTTTTAGTTATTTTTTTGTTTCTAAATAAAACTTTCATGTCAAAATGATATTAATAATATTAGATCTAGTTGTCAGAGAATAGAAGGCTTTGGATAAACTTAAATTCGCTCTGACAAACCTTATTATTTGGCACTGTCTCATTTTTCATTTTGATTAATTAATATTTCTTCACTAATAAATGTGTTCATATACGTTTGAATGTTCAAAAAATGCCAAAAAATCAGAGCAGTATATGTCATCGGACAATGTTCGAAAATAAATTTTAATGGTGCGTCACAAATAGTGGTCCATTCTCATAGTTTCATACTTTATAGTAATAATCACCATAGTTTGTTCATTTCAGAACCAATACTTTTCTAAAAACGATTTATAATAGTCTACTTTTTTTAATAATGCATAAGAAACCTGTGTTGCCGCAAAAAAAACTTCTTTGCTTATATTATTCGATTTTGCAGTTTTTTTCTCATATAATTTATATCAGTCAATTTTTTTTAATTACATAAAGTATTTGAAAACTAAAGCAAATTGGGAATTGTGGCGATCAGTTTTCGACAAAAATTGGCAAGACCGATTTTAGCAATCAAGTGCTAAACGAGTGGTCTATGCATGGTATTGTGCTTTAACACAAGTTGCTGGTACATCTCGTACTGTAATTAATTCGAGGACATAAAAATAATCACTAATAAAAAGTGGCTGGGCCTGCTTTTGCCAAAATTAATACTATATAATAATATAAAATAACCACATCTCCAATCATTACCAATTGAATATTTTTTAGATCATTCAAATCGGATGCTCCGTTATCTCAAAAACTCGATTTCTATTTTCTGCACTCTTTGCTCTTCATCTCTGTAAGTGCTGGACCTGCCTTTGCCAACAACTAATCAGCACATCTCCCTATCAATAGTAATCGAATGTTTTTTGAACCATTCAAATCGGTTGATCAGTATGTATCTACATACATATATACACACACATTCATTTTTTCTGAGGTATGCCAAAATGTTCAGAAACATTCAAAACGTCGAGAAATGCAAAAATTTTCAAGTTCGATTTTTGGAAGATTACAATAACTTACCCTACGGGAAGTTAATTTTAAATTAGACGACGACGCTTATATATGTACATATGTTTACTGTACAAAATATAATCAAGACGAATTAAAATGGATGCATTAGACGACCTTATCTCAAATTTTTAACTTTCCTTAGGGTGATAAAAAATATCCAAATTCTCAAAAAATTTAGAAAAAACTTTTTTTTTAATTCAAAAAAAATTGAAACATCTAAAAAAATTTCAAAATTTTGCAAAAAATTCTAAATTATGAAAAAAATCTAATTTGAAAAAATAACAAATTTCTTGTAAATATAAACATAAGTTGTTTATAAAATGCGCTCGTCACCCAATTTAATATGCACTTTAATTTACAGTATGTATTTATAATAAAATGATCTATTTGAAATTATTCAAAGCAATTATTGATTATTTTTATTCCTCGAATGTTTACTTACGGTACGAGAAGTTCCAGCAATTTGTCTTAAAGCACTATGCCATGCACCTCATGCTACAGCTTTTACGGCCACATGACATTACAAGTAGTAAATCTTTTCCACATCCGATAAGTTAATAATCTTTTCGATTATCGATATAATCGATTCTATAAAGCTTAACCAGTTTTTACATTTTTCTTAGAAAAACTAGAATTTGTTTTTATTTCCATAGCTGAATTTATAAATTTTTATATTAGTTTTTGTTACTCTTCATTGGATTGTGTGTATAATGCGTTAATTTATTATTTAGATTCTGATAATGATGATATTTAAATTATCTCTATCTTACTGCATAATTAATCTAATTCGTCTGAAATATTCATCAGCGGAATTTTAATAACTATTTATTAACTTTTCGTAGGGCAAGTTATAGTAATCGCAAATAAATCGAAAATGAAAATTTTTATATATCTTTACGTTTCAAAGGTTTCTGAATATTTTGGCATTTGGTTAGAAAAAATGGATGTATGTGTGTGTGTGCAGATACAAAT